CAGGGGGACATGTGGACAGGAGGGGACAGGGGGGACAGGAGGGGACATAGGGGGCTCAGCAGGACACTGGGGACAGGATGGGGCATTGGGGACAGGAGGGGATGGGATTTTCCAGGGGGACATGGGGACAGGAGGGGACATGGGGGACTGGAGGGGACGTGGGGACATGGGTGGACAACCAGATCCTCAGGGGGGCCAGGAGGGGACAGCCAAACCCAGGGTGGGACAGGAGGTGACATGAGGGGACAGCCAAGCCCCCAGGGGACAGCAGGACACAAGAGGACACGGGGCTGTGGGTGCCTGCAGGGCTCCAGGGCAGGGTGGGGGGGGGTTCGTGCCTCAGTTTCCCCACCCAGCCCAGCCAGCGGGCCTCATCCTGCCCAGTGGGGAGACAGGAGGGCAGCGGGTGGCCCCTCCCAGGGTGCTGGGGGTTCCCGTCCCTTGGGGTGTCCCAGGGGTGTCCCCGCACTCCCACCTTGTTGGGCTGCACGGTCCGGCGTAGGTTCTCGATCCAGCGGTCGCGCTCGGCCAGGGACGTGCAGCCGAAGGACCGGCTGCCCTCGCCCGTGATGATCTGGGTGCAGGGAGGGTGTTTGGGGAGCACCCTAGGGTGCCTGGGGGGGGAACTGGGCTGCCCAAGGCCAAGGGCTGTGCTGGGGTGTCCTGTGGGGTGCCCTGGGTGCCTTTGCAGGGTCTTTGGGGTGCCATGGGGCCCTCTCCAGCATGATTAGGGTGCTCTGGGTGTCCCTCCAGGATGCCTAGGGTACCCTGGGTGCCCCTCTGGATTGCCTAGGCTGCTCTGGGTGCCTCTTCAGGGTGCCTGGTGTGCCCTGGGTGCCTGTTCAGGATGCCTGGGCACCCTGGGTGCTGCTCCAGGTTGCCTGGGGTGCCCTGGGTGCCTGGCCTGAATGCTCCAGGTGCCCCTCCAGGGTGCTCTGGGTGCCCTGGGTGCCTGTGCAGGGTGCCCTGGGTGCCCCTCCAGGGTGCTTAGGGTGCCTTGGGTGCCCACCCAGGGTGCTTTAGGGTGCCTTGGGGGCCTATCCAGGGTGCCCTGGGTGCCCTGGGTACCCCTCCAGGATGCTTAGGGTGCCTTGGGTGCCCACCCAGGGTGCTTTAGGGTGCCCTGGGTGCCTGTGCAGGGTGCCCTGGGTGCTCCGGCAGAGTGCCTGGTATGCCCTGGGTGCCCCTCCAGGTTGCCTGGGGTGCCCTGGGTGCCTCTCCAGGGCACCCCTGAGCACCCACCCAAGCCCGTTACCTGAAAGCAAAACTTCTCGCCCACGATGCTGCCGTGCACGGGCCGGACGATGACGTTGTCCCCGGTGAGGTCCAGCTCAGCCGCGCTGGGCGGTGGCAGCAGCGACTCCCGCGAACCGCTCCGGCTGGGGACCCTGCAGGGACAGGACCGTCAGCGGGGCACCCTCACCAGCACCCACATCCCTCCCCACCCTCCACGGTGCCGTACCTCTCGCCGTCGGGGACCATCACCGCTGACGTGTCGGTTTTGGGGACACCACGACCTTTCCTCTCCCGGAGCCTCTTCCACAACAACCCCTGGGTGGGGTAAGGAGATGGCTGCTTAGGTGGGGGAGATCTCGCTCTCGGTGCTTCTCCCGGCACCCCGGGTGCTCCTCTCATCCGCAGCCGGATCTGGAGGGGCACCCAACATCAGGACCCCCCCCTTTACCTGCACCCCAAGCACCCCAACACCATGCCAGGGTATGGGGGGGGCCAGGATACACCCACCCCCACCCCCCCTTGGGAAACATCAACCAAAGCCGGAGGAAGGACCCAGGCGCCGGGTTCTGGGTGCCAAATCCTGCTGGCACCTCACCGTATCCATAGCCCTGAGATGCAGCCAAGCTTTGGGTGCTGAAAATGGGTGCTCATGGGTGCGAGGGAGAAGGGGGCAGAGGGACGTATCCTGCTGCCTCAGCTCAGGCGTACGGCGCCGGTGCTCAACCCCGGCACTCAGCCCCGGTGCTGCGATGCTGCGACGCCAAGCACCCATCCAGGCCGGTCCCCACCCCGGTGCCATGTGGGTGCCGGCCCCGGTGCCAGGCGGGTGCCAGGAGGGTAACTCACCTCCCTGCGCGGTGCAGAGCAGCCAGCGGCGGGGCCCCAAGGCTGGCGGCGATGCCGTCTGCCCGCGCTGGCGAGGGGCGCGGGGAGGAAGCCGAAAGCATTTATCGCTCGGATCAGCCGACGCAGCAGCGTGGAGGAAGCGGTGACGGTGCAAAGCGGCCTCGCACCCAACACTTCCCCCGCGCACCCGGCTCGGTGGGGGGCACGGGGCGGGGGGCACGGCGTGGCGCGTGGGGCGCGGCATGGCGTGGGGCACGGTGTGGCGTGCTGCATGGCGCGGGGCATGGCACGGGACACGGTGTGGTGCATGGGGCACGGCGTGGTGCATGGGGCACGGCGTGGTGCGTGGCACGGGGCATGGCACGGGACATGGCGTGGGGCACGGCGTGGTGTGCTGCGTGGCGTGGGGCATGGCACGGGACATGGCATGGTGCATGGGGCACAGCGTGGTGCATGGCGTGGGGCGTGGCAAGGGACATGGCGCGGTGCATGGGGCACGGAATGGTGCATGGCATGGTGCATGGCACGGGCCATGGTGTGGTGCATGGGGCACGGCGTGGTGCGTGGCACGGGGCATGGCACGGGACATGGCGTGGGGCACGGCGTGGTGTGCTGCGTGGCGTGGGGCATGGCACGGGACATGGCATGGTGCATGGGGCACGGCGTGGTGCATGGGGCACGGCGTGGTGCGTGGCACGGGGCATGGCACGGGACATGGCGTGGGGCACGGCGTGGTGTGCTGCGTGGCGTGGGGCATGGCACGGGACATGGCGTGGTGCGTGGGGCACGGCGTGGGGCATGGCAAGAGCATGGCATGGTGTGCTGCATGGTGTGGTGCGCGGCACGGGGCATGGCATGGTGTGCTGCATGGCGCGGTGCATGGGGCACAGCGTGGTGCATGGCGTGGTGCACGGCGTGGTGCACGGCATGGTGTGCTGCACGGCGTGGTGCGTGGCACAGGGCACAGCGTGGTGCACGGCACAGAGCATGGCATGGTGTGGTGCATGGCACAGGGCATGGCACACTCCACGGCATGGGGCACAGCACGGGGCACGGCACAGGGCATGGCATGGTGTGACACGAGGCTTAGCAGGGCGGACAACACGGGGCACGGCTTGCTGCGTGGCACGGCGTTCAACACGGGCACGGCACCGAGTCTGGCATCTGGCACGGCATGGGCGCAACGTGGGGCACGGCGTGGGGTGCGGTGCATGGCACAGGGCACGGCACGGGGCCTGACTGTGGAGCGCGGCACAGGGCGCGGCACGGGGCACGGCCGTGATGCAAGACGTGGGGCGTGGGGCGTGGAGCACAGTGCGTGGCACGGAGCATGGCACGGTGCACGGCACGGTGCATGGCATGCTGCATGGCCGCGGTGCACAGCACGGTGCCGGTGCACGGTGCATGACACAGGGCACGGCCACGATGCACGGCGTGGTGCAAGGTGTGCGGTGCATGGCCACGCGGTGCATGGCATGATGCACAGCATGGTGGAAGGTGCACGGTGCATGGCCATGTGGTGTGTGGCACAGGGCACGGCCACGATGCATGGCATGGTGCAAGGTGCACGGTGCATGGCCACGTGGTGCACGGCACAATGCATGGCACAGGGCACGACCACGATGCACGGCATGGTGCAAGGTGCGCGGTGCATGGCCACACGGTGCACGGCACAGGGCACAGCATGGTGCAAGGTGCATGGTGCACGGCCACACGGCGCACGGCAGAATGCACGGCACAGGGCATGGCCACGATGCACGGCGTGGTGCATGGCCACAAGATGCATGGCGCGGTGCACGGCCACGATGCAAGACACGGTGCGTGGCGCATGGCCGCACGGTATGGTGCAAGCCACGGTGTGCAGCCCAAGCGGCTCCACGCGCAGGAGCTGCACCGGGCCGGCGCGCACACGGCTCACACCAGCACGTGCCAAAACCCCGCGGCATCGGCGCGTGCCGGTGCGGGGCGAGCTCGCTCACCGGGGTCCCTCCTGCCGCCCGCCGGGTGCAGGTTGGTGCTCTCAGAGATGGAGCTCCCCGTCCGGTTCCTGCTCCTGCACGAAGCCTGGTGGCACAGAGGGGTCAGGCACCGCCGCCCCCAGCACCCATCGCTGCACCCCGTCACCCGAGGGACTCCGGCAGAAGCCCCTGGGTGCCCAGGGGCCTCATGTCCCCGTGTCCTCACCTCCTCGTCCCTGCTCACAAGGACCAGATGTCCGTCCACCAACGAGAAGTTGGAGACGTCCCACACTGGGGCATCGGGTGCTGGAGCCAGCGGGATGGATGAGGTCCCATGGGTGCTCGCTGGGGGTGCAGAGCAGGGTGTCAGGGGGAGCCTGGGTGCTCACCGTGCCCCCTGTCACCCACGGTCAGCATGGCAGTGCCAGGGACATGTGGCTGTGGCCATGCCACCACGGTTGTGACAATACCAGGGCACATGGGGCCATGGCCATGGTATGGCTGGGGTGATGGTGCCAGGGGACATATGGCCACGGGGGTGCCACCATGGGTGCGGTGATGCCGGGGGACACGTGGCCATGGAGATGCCACCATGGGTGCGGTGATGCCGGGGGACACGTGGCCATGGAGGTGCCACAGTTGGGGTGGCAATGCTGGGGGACACGTGGCTGTGCCACCATCAGCGTGGCAACACCAGGCCACGCTTGGCTGTGGCCATGCTGTGGTGGGGACAAAACCGGGTGGCTGCCCTGCCCCAGGGCCCTGCCTGCACCGTGGGTGGCCCTGCCTGCACCGTGGGTGGCCCTGCCAGAGCCAAGCCGGTTTTGCCAGATCCGGGTGCCGCAGGGGCTGGCGCGGCTCCACGTGCCGCCACCGAGCCCTGTGCTGGGGACCGAGGCCACATGTGGCCAGGAGCGGGCCCTGTGGTGAGGTGGGACCCAGCCATCCTGCACCCATGGGTGCCCCCCCAGCCTGGAGGGCACCTGCAGGCGGGAGCTCCCCAACACCAGCAAAGCCTGGCCACGTCCTGCACCCCTCTCTGTCCCCCACCCATCACCCACCACCGCCCGGACCCCAGTGGTCACCGTCACCCATCACCCATCACCACCACCCATTGCCCCCAACCCACCGCCCCATCACCCACTGCATCCCAGATCATCACCCATTTCCATTGCCCACCACCCATCAGCCCCCAACCCATCATCCATCGCCCCCAGCTCATCACCCATCATCGTCACCCACCACCCATCACCCATCGTCATCACCCACCACCTATCACCCCTAATCCATCACCCATCGTCATCACCCACCACCCATCACCCCTAATCCATCACCTACCATCCTCACCTCACACACAT